ATTTTTAAGATTTTGTATCTCCTCTAAGATTCAAAGATTTTAAAAGTTTTTGAATTTTCAACTCAAGAATATTCAATTCCTTGACACTAATTGAACCAACTCCTAAAAAAAAAATTACCCTAATTTCTAAAAAAAATGTATGCCATGCAAATATGAATGCAAACTAATGTAAGAATGGATGCCTATATGTTATTCTCTCCTCCAAACTTATATCAAACATTGTTCTCAATGTAAAATAGAAGTATAAGAAAAGAGAAACTTCCTAAGTTTTGCACTTGAAAATTTAAGTTTTGAAGTTGAGTTTTTTTCAATTAAAGGAGACTTTAAGTGTGTGAATTTTCATAATCTCATCCCCCAAACTTGTTGTGATACCCCAAAATTTTCTAGAATATTTAAGTGAGTTAAGGACTAAATTGTGGAAAAATTCTGTTTTGGGGCTTAATGGTAAAATGTTCAAAAGTTGAGGGATTTAAAGAGGGAAAATAATTGGATAAGGATCAGTTTCCTTTCTTTTTCTTTTGGTTAAATGCTTAATTTGGTCCCTCAACTTTAAGAAATGAACATTTTTGGTCCCTCAACAATTTTTTGCACTTTTTTGATCCCTCAACTATACGAAATGCACTCCGTTAGTCATTCTGTTAATTTGGGCCGTTAACTCGCTTATGTGGCATTTTTTATAATTTTTTTGATGACGTGGCAAAAACAAATTAAAAACTTGTCCACCTAAAATTTTTTTTTTATTACAACTCAATGCCAACTCAGACTATTATTATTTATATTTTTAAAAAATAAAATAAAATAATTCTATTCCATCTTCTTCATTTCTTTTTTTTTCTTTTTCTTTCTTCCTCTTCTTCCTCGGGTCTTTCTTCCTCTTCTTCGAACGGAACCCAGCCACTAGGATTGGTGGAACCCAGCCTGGGTTCGACGGAACCCAGCTTGGGTTCGACGGAACCCAGTGGCTGGGTTCGGTGGAACCCAAGCCCGAACCCAGCTCCACCTTTTTTTTTTTTTTTTGTTTATATGGTTGTTTAGCAAGAGATTATGTAAATTGCAGGTTGTTGTGAGGGATTTTTGGGCAATTGGTTTTTTTTTTTTTGTTATATGATTGTTTGCCAAGAGATTATCCAAATTGCAGGTTGTTGCGAGGGATTTTTGGACAACTGAATTACAGTGAATTGAGCTGGGTTCGATGGAACCTGTTCTACCGAACCCAGGTTCGGTTCCGGTGAACCCAACTCTACTTTTTTTTTTTGTTATATGTTTGTTTATCAAGAGATTATCCAAATTGCAGGTTGTTGTGAGTGATTTTTGGGATTTTTTTCTTCATATTTTTGAAGTATTGTTTAAATAATTTCAATCTTGAAAATGGAGAGAACATCGTCGATGGAAAGAACAGAAACAGTAATCAATGGACAGAAGCAATTCTTAGTGGTGATGTGGGACCCACTTGGATGGAATTGGGGCGTTTTGGCCACGGTAGCATTACATGGCAAAAGGTTTTGGGCACATCATCACTTTTTTAAATTTTGCCTTCCACATCATCAAAAAAAATATAAAAAATGCCACATAAGCAGAGTTAACGATCCAAATTAACAGAAGGACTAACGGAGTGCATTTTGTATAGTTGAGGGATCAAAAAAGTGCAAAAAATTGTTGAGGGACCAAAAATGTGCAACTCACTAAAGTTGAGGGACCAAATTCAGCATTTAACCTTTTCTTTTTCCTTCTTTTCTTCCCCCAGCCATTTCCCGATTCTCCTCTTCTTCTTCCCGCTGCAGCCGAACAAAGCCCCTAAGCTGCTGGCGACTTCCTCCCTTGAAAAACCGGTAAATCTTGATGATTTTCCCTTATTTTCTTGTCCAAGAACCTAATTTGGAACCCAGAAATCTCTCCCCCCTGCAGGAGCTTCCGGATCTGCCTTGCTCTGCTTCTTCACCGCCGGCTGCTCTTGCCTTGTGGGGGCGAATTGGCTTGGTTTGTTGGTAAGAAATAGCTCGAATTCTCCCTTCTTTAGCTTTGATTTAAGTTGGGCTCCTTTAATTTTGGGTTAAACCGTGAGTCCCCTGCAGAATTT